TTTATAGCCAGATGATGTGTTTTTGCCTGAGCGTGAGAGGGATACACGCACTGGGGTGGCAGAGATGCTGAAAGCCTGCTGAATCCAGCAATTGTTATTCAAATGTGTGAAGGGTAGCATCTTCGGCTATTGTCCCGCCTACTATATAGGTTGGTCTACCCCGAACTCGAACGCACAGCAGTAATATGCTGGAACATTAGCTTTAAATGAGCGTACGGTGATACCCAACGATAATCGAGTACTCTTTCTGAGGGAACTGCAACATCATACCATGCTTCGTGAGTCCAGTTGACCTCAAACTTTTCCACAGCAGTAACACCTTCACGTTTTGTAAGCCCAACATCCTGCTGGGAATGTCGATGTTGGGCTAGTTTTAGCTGTGTATGAGCTCGTAGAACTAAGGTAGAAGAGAGCATCTCAGCGCAGTCGAAAAGAGTCCAGAAAAACAAATGTAAAAGGAAATGAAACTGGAAGCACGATAGTTTGGGTTAAGACGCATTCAGTGGGGTAAAGAGTGTCGCACAATTCCAGAAGTCTTCAAAACCACATGCGACATGCGAAAAGCTTACAATGCAGTTCGATAGAGGCGTGGCTATAATTTTATCGGAGCCGGTCTCTTACTCAGCCCCAATGGTCAAAAACTGTCATAACCTTAAGTCTGGTTAACACTCATCATTTTCGTGAATCGTAATTCGTGAAATGAAATTTACGTGATTCATGAATTTTTGGCAGACAATGCATCCTTTATATTCAGTTTTTAGAGAGCACGATTATTATTGTTACTCTAGAAATTTTCCGAACAGAGATATGAACTTCGGATCTTGGCTTCACCAATCTCGGTGCAAGCTCCACCCACCACCAAAATTCTACGCTCTTCCTTTGAGGCCCTCCACTATTTCTCGGTTTCTCGAAGTTTTTGAACAAATCTAATAGTTTTTGTAAAAAGCACCTTTCAGATTACCCCATGCCCATCGGGGCATCTCCAAGTTTACGCGTGCCTACACATATTGAAGACACAGTTCACGATAATTTTGAGGTACCCTTTTCAGGTATAAAAGTGGAGGTGTTGATGCAGAGAAGTGCATCGGTGACGAAGAGAGCGAAAATTCGCTTACTTCAAGGCACTTTAGAAGTAGGGGAAGTGGAGGTTATACGAGATCATCGTGACGGTAATGGCTTGTAGGGGGTGTTTGGACGAGATTTAACTTGCTCACATTGCTCAAAGAGATAACTACGTCCGATTCTGCCTTTCACTTTCGCCATGAGTTATGAAAAGTTGTTCGAACTTCCTAGATGGGAGTCTCTTGAGGTAGTGCACCTCCACAGCCGTTGAAGCTCGTCCACGAAGGGGTATTCTCACGATACAATCTTTAGCCTCTTATTAGGCCGTATCTATGACGTTTTTCGGCTTTATACGGCAGATATGGTATAAGGGGGGGGGGGCACAATTCTATAGGGAGATCTCAGAAACCATTTTTATTGTGAACAGTGCCTTTAAACTTGCTTATTCCAACAATCTTCTTCCCGTTCTCTAAGCTTGAACAAATGATTCATGAATTCAAGAAGGAATCACCGCTCGGCAAACTGCTGTTAGGTCTCCTTTATTTCACTCATTGATCCATTCTTCGCAGCACCGCTATGTTCTCTCTTAGAGGATCCAACGGAAGTCAGAGGAGAAATGCGAGATTGTGCGGGGCGGTGCTTTAGAGTCACGATCCGACCATGCCAAATAAACCAAAAGAACGGGAATGCGATGCATTCTTCACTTTTGCTCACCTTTTTCCTAGCCCTGGGCTGTTACGAATACAAATTAGAATGTTTTGCCCCTGACATCGTCCACCTTGCAGCAAGCCAGCCCCGGGGGTGGAGCTCCGCTGAGCTTACGTGGGCTCTGTAGATTTTGCCCTGTGCCCGATACATAACGGGCGAAAGGAAAGAGATTTAGAGGGCATGTGTTGAAGCTTGAGCAAACCGCGTACAATTCTAGTAAACAAACAACACATTTTATCTTCAAAACTCGAGCTTAAGAAGGAGTGTTGAACTTCAACCTTTCAGTGATAAAGAGCAAAGGGTGGGGTGAGATTTAAACAAACAGTGACGGTACAGTAATTTAGGAGCTCAGGGTACAACAGCTTGTATATTCGAATTTTGAATTATTTTTGGCCAACCACTCTTTCACTCTTTGCCTACTTCTTTTGAAAGCAAGCGCTTAAAATTCGCAAATAGAGCGTCACTAAAGAAAAGCATGCTTTTTCTCAACAATAATATCACTTATGACTCATGAAATGAAAAATTCAGCAGTATTCTGCAGCGGGAGCACAAGCGGTACACGATGCACATCTTCATATAGATCAAGGAAATTTCTTTATCACACACAAAAAAAGCAAAATCTAATAAGTGAATCAGCCCCATGCATACGTTGTGCTATATTGCATAACTAAATGAGGTTCTTTACCGTCAGTTTTAACAGCATAGCAATCACGAAGAGAACCAAAACAATGATCAGGTGACGGGGCGAACGTCTGAGATATATAGACATGGAGACTTTGATTTTCTGGCAAATTAATCAGCTTTTTTATCACTTGAGTAAACCATGCTACTGTCCTGCTAGCGTCAACGTTGAATTTCTTCTGCTTCAAGATTGGAGCATCGCCAACAGCGTGTAATAAAATTGTGACCTTGTCGTCTGACATGATTTTCTCAGCTAAAAGTAACCATTATTACAATTTACCATTACCATGACAACAATTAAGTCTAAACTGTCAGGTTTGTACGAAAGCACTGCATATGGAAGGTCTTATGTAAAAAGTAAAGAAGGTAGAAAATCTGTCTCATAAACTCGAGCTGATGGGTGTAATTTTGGACCTGAGGAAGGAGGTGAGTGGGTCAGAAAAGATCATTGAAAAGAATAAAGAAAAAGGAAGAAGCAGAACTGCTCAAGAGTATCGCAACCACAAGATTTGTCCCGAAAAAAAATGTATAGAGATAAAATGGAAGCACGCGTCACAGAGGAACATCAAAGCGTACGAACTTACTTTAAAAAGAGAGCACTTTTCCTGCGTATAAAACGAGGGCCGCAACAATAGACACTGAAAGAACTGCGACACCGGTGAAAAGCTTCCGTTCCCAAGGTTCCAGCATATACAGTCCAGTCACAAGGCAGTATTGCAAATAAAGCCACTCCAATCCATGAACCTGAAGCAAAGACCTTGGACCAATTTCATAAAGCCCTCGAATAACTGACAGTACTCCTTCAAAATAGTCCATGATCGACATTCATCTATTCTTGGCATGATGTATAGTAAAGATGAATCCCTTCAAGATTGAATAATTTATTTGGCCATCGTTTCGGCTACTTCGCCTTTGTCAGGGCCCTGTAGTCCGCCGCTAAGATAAGAGGACGACTTCCCCCGTAGTGGGTGGTCGTCCTCCTATCTTAGCGGCGGACTCCAAAATCCTGATGAAGGCGAAGCAGCCGAAACGTTGGCCAAATAAATTGTTCAATCTTGAGAGGCTTAAAGAGGATTCATCAGTACTCGTTCAATGTCACAAGGTCATTCACTACTTGCGCAAGCCCCGATTAAGTAGCACGAATTTAGCGACATCGTGGAAAAGGTTAATCTGAATTCTTTGCGACAGCACAATCTATTGGGTCATCTTATTCAAAAATACATAGACATTTGAAGGGATGGTGTAAAAATAAAAGATGCTTCATCGACATTTCTTTGGTTGAAGCTTGTATAGTTCTTCAGGTCACTGCACAATATCATCATCACAGCAGCAGAAGAAACTATTATAAAAGGAAACATCATTGGCAAAAGTAGTGAAGAGATTTCAGAACGGGCGTCGTAAAAGAAATCAGCCATTCAACTTGCCATGGGCCAGATCAACATTGGTGAAGCTTGACGTTCCCTCGGCGTAATCTTGAAAAATGGATGCCGATTTTCAATGGAGGAACGAACCAAGAAAATGTTGAGAGGTGTCCACAATGTTCACTGTTTATGTTCACGAAGAGCGGGTTGATGTAATCAAGCATCGAATGAAGGAGACAATGAGACTTAACCATTGTTGGACCTCTCAGCACTTTCACTGACAATGTTGGGTATTGAGGACGGTCAGGGATATGTGTGTGCACGCATCTCATTTTTTTTTTAAAGAAGCAGAAGTTCATAACCAAAGTGGTGATGCCTTGAGTGACGATTTTCTGGCCGCCGAATGCACACGCCATATTTGAAACAGCACCCACCAGCTGCTCGAAAGCAGCCACAAGGACTTCGTGGTTCCAAGTGGACATTCATAATCCCTGTTAAAATTTGAGCACAGAATTTCTATTCTAAAGAACTTCACCGCTGAAAAGTTTCTCGTCGATAATGTCGACAATTATATGCCACCACACAAATGTGAGAGGACCACTATCACATAAGAGCGCGCCAAGCCGCACCCGGCTTGAAATGAGATCAGCCGGCGCATTCGCCCGGCCTACAACAACCGTTCAACACCGACTGATCTGGCTTCACTTGCCCCACGGTTGCAATAGGAAAGGTCAGGTTTCCTTTCCTAGGAGGTAATACGATCTATGATGGTTTCTGTTGGGATGCACCAACGGCAAGAAAACGGTAAAGAACGATGGGTACAGATAGCTGTAGGGAATTGAAAGCATGGACAAAGTGTGAGACAGATAAAAAACCAAGGGTTAAGAAACAGTGGAGGAAGATGGGGATGGCAAATGAAAAGAAAAGGAGAAACATGTATAACAGTGAGTTAAGGAGGTAAGAAAGTTTAGCTGTTATTAGGCGTGAACAGTGAGCAACACCAAACTCCCACATAGACCAACCTCGAGTTACTTTACCCACAACAGAAATGAAATCATACTAACCATAGGACGTGATGGTGAATTCATTTCATTGAAGCTTTTCAGGCTAACAAAATGCTTCAAGTTATGCCAGAGGTTATCTTCCCTACTCTACACGTCTCCGCTCCACAGGTGCACTTTTTGAATGCCCGCTAAATTTTTTCTTTCATTGCGCGTGTGGGGAACAGAGTGATTAGAGTACAGGAGAGTCCACAAACACACAAAGTGCACATTAAAACCTGCTTCCCGAAATCAAGAACTGCGAAACATACCGTTTTAATTTCTCTGGGACGTGTGACAGGATCACTCATAACAAGCCAAGCACGATCGACTGCTCAGTTGCACTGATAACGTTTCATCAGACGTAGAAGCCTGAGAAGGAAACCGGCAGTACTCCGTGGAAACAGCCGAAAACGTCCCAGAAGAGCGCACGCAGTCGCGACACGCACGCGACAGAACAGCAGAGCACTTCTTTTTTGGCACTTTTCCAACTTCCAACATCCCACGAGGAATTCGTGGGGAGGACATTGTTGTTCCTGTAAGCGTTGTTTACGTCTTTGTTTATGCATCTCCACTGAAAGCGAACCTTTCACAGCTTATCCAATGGAACGCCTGGTTAATTCATTGAGTTTACCTAGCTGCTGTTCTTATCATTGTACTTTAGAATCCCTTTCCATTCCTGCTCGGTGAATTACGTTCATAATGCGTTGCTCTACTTCATGTGATGAGTCATTTAAGCTATGGCCCCACTTGATTGGGAGAATTTGTTCACCGTGCCCACAATAAGTGCTTCGCCTCCAATGAGCCCGTAAGGGTCTATTTCATTACTTTGATTATCCGATGTCTTTCTTAAAACCTCGTTGAAGCGGCTTGATGAAAAACTCGTTTCGTCAACGCTTCTTTCATCGATTGGAGTGGATACCCAATTGTTGACGTGGCTCCATTGTTGTTCTTCGCTATCTGCTTATTTGTCTCATTATGCCCCCTTGTACGTTTTTATCAGTTGCGTCACTTCTAATTTTAGGTGAAAGCGAATCATTAAACCAGGAAGAACTAATAAATCAGCTGATCTATCTTCAACAACATAAGGCCTATGTGTTTTAACCAACTTGCATCGCTTTAGTCGGGAGATGACGATAAGTTCATTCTAAACTATTGAGAGAGTTGTCATGTGATACACCTTATGTGGTATAGATCACCGTTGAAAAAACTGTGAAGCTGTAGAATCGCGGAAACACTGATCTTCCTTGTACTTTATATGTATCGATCCATTCCTCGTTTTTTGTGTTCCCTTGTACTTTATATGTATCGATCCATTCCTCGTTTTTTGTGTTCCATAATACTCAATGTGGTACATATCCTGCAATGGATATCGCGACTCTCTTGTTTGTTAGTTTACAAGCAAACGTAACGTTTCCATGATGAGGTGATCAAACCAAAAGTCATCATCATTTATCAGACTTACGCGGTTTGGTAGGGACAGGTTTCTCTTAGAATTGGGCGGTGACCTTTTTTTCGACCTTTTTTCATTAGAGTATGTTGTACGTGTCTTTTGGTGTTTTTACCTCCGTCCCTGACTTCGATGATAATTTTAATTATTGTTTATTGCTAGATAATTATGAACGGCGAATATCCTACCTGATGAGAAGATATCGAGTTCGCCAATCGTGGATTTCGAAAGTGCAGATTCCATGATGCGCGAGATCTTAGGCTGTTAGTGGATTCCACGACTCCTAGCTCTCTAGATTGGCTAGATCGATGCGATAGCGATTTCCCTTCTCATTAATTCATCCAACCGATTCACAACTTGCTAACTTCTACTGAAATCCGCCAACTCAAGGTACTTCAAGAATATATCCGAGCAGCGCTCGGGAAGCTGATGCACTAGGCGGCGTCAAAGATTCTCCTTAGGTATGTCATCCGTTGTAATTCTACTGAGGTGGAAAACAACTTAAAGATCAGAGTTCTCAGCTGGTACAATCCAGTTGACGTATGCTCTGAGATGTTTTTTTGAGGTCATTATTCAATATTTATTAAACTAGACATCGAATTTTCCTCCGAACTCTACTCGTATATGTTGTACAGCTCGTATAGTACTTATCATGAACAGTCTTGCGGGAGAAGTTTGGTGTCGGGGGTCATTTACCATTTGACATTTAGCGAATCCACTTTTTCGTCTTACAGTTTGGCTAATTCATGATTCGACAGTTCCCCAGATATAGCAGTACCTAATCAAGGAGCGAATTACCTCTGAACTCTCCTTAGTCGGAGATGTAATTTTTTATCCTTCAATTTTTTATCCCACACTAGAAAAGATACAGTCCAAATTAGAACCAAAAACGAAGAATATCATAGCAAAAGTTTTCGTACGCAATTGATAAATGAGGGGCCCTACAATCTTTCAATCTGTCAGTGGCAAACTTACCGTTCCACTTGTGAGTGTATCATCCCACGAAAACTACCACTATATCACCTAATCGTTTCTTCGTTGGTGGTTTCAGTCTCTTCCAATCACCCAGACTGCGAATGGGTCGCTTTTTTTCATTTTTCTGTGGTCCTCAGCATACTAAGCTTCATGTCAACTAGTGCTATCATTATAGCCCATTACGCCTAACATTATTGCTGACTACAAGTACTCGCCCTTTTGCTGGAAGGCTTCAAAGCCCTTTCAGAAGAGTTTTCGTATGGTGCATCTTGCGAACTGCTGTCTGCGAACCGTGCAGGAAATAGTACCTTTTCGGTTCTTTAACGCACGAACTTGCAATTTTTCATACTTTGTGTGATGTCCATTTCTTCATCGCAGCCATTCGCCGTTTCTGCCTTATCGATCCATGAACTCAGTTGTGAATGGCATTTCCGATATAGCACCAGATAATGAGTATTATCCACTTCCAAGAATTCATGGTTCCGGATCCTCCAAGGCAACTTATCCATGCAAGCAGCTACTGTTTTCATATTGCCAGTCACGATCCAGATCTCAGCGCACATTATTAAGCTGTCAGAAGAAGGATAGATCTTGATGCGATGTATCAATGATGCCTACGACTCTGCTGTATGTACGTAACCGATGATTTTGTCACATGGAATTGTCTTTTTGCATATGCGATCAGTTGTAGTTAAAGATTCCATTCCGCGCCGCATATTAGTTCTTAAAAGTAAAGTTTTTAGCGATAATCAATCCATCCGAGGGATGCGCCCCGGCACTCGACTTCCATTCAGAATCGCAGCGGCGTAATGGATGTGTACTGGCCTATACAATGGCTTGCAGTGGCCAGCCGATGCACAATTCTGTGCTTTTATCCTCTTGAATGAGTCTGGTACCAATTAATCGACTTTGGAGGGATGAAAGGCTTGATTGGCCTGTCCGATATCGATTTAGGATCCGAACCCATGACCATGCGTGCGTGATTGTGCGCCACTTGCCACTACACCACCTCAGCCCTACGTCATATATTATATGAAATGTAGTCTTCTTCTGATGAGAGACCTTTGTATCTGTTTGTGACCGTAGAGTCACTTTCGTTCCGTGATTTTACTCTCTTGGCATGTCTGTCTCCAATAAACCTCTGCTGCACTACGCTCATTATACTGATTTCATTCCCAGTTGTTGCATTCATGATCGTTCAGTAATGCTTCGTGGTACGATTCGGCTGTATCCATTCTGTTTTTACAATGAAAACCGCCGTTTAGAACATAATGGGAAAAGGACGCAACAAGAATAAAGAAAAAGATACATACTCAGGACCTACTCGGAAGGGAAGAGGTTTGTCTTGACGAATATAATAGAACAATTATGTGACTATATTAATCTTTCGATTTGTAAAACGAAACTTCTCATCCCTTCTTTGGTTACTTTGGGTTTCGATGAGGAACTAAATTTAAGACAAGAAACTCAGTACAGTCTGGACTCCTGCCAAGAGCTTACCTCATCCTGTAACTTACGTCTTATTTTGAGACATTTTATGATCTGTTGCTGCATACATACTTTGCTGCAGTCGACATTTGTGACATGAATGTATCGTACCGCGTGCATACTTTGGACGACGTGTGTGACTTGTTAACACTGTGCGGCTGCTTGACACCAATACTATTGGATTAAGTGATTACAAAATTACATTGATTGCTTAGGAGTTTAGATTCAGCATTCCTTGATTTCCATCGATCTTTGGAAATTAGGGTGACACTCAAAGCAAACGATAAGCGTTTAATACCAACAACAACAACAGTCGATTGCATTGCGTTGATCCGTGTGTCCACCCTCAGAAGTTGCGTTGGCTGAAGTGCAGCATGCGCCATATGTCGTGCACAAAGCACGACTCGTGGCACATCACAACTTTCACCTAACGCAAATTCTGAGGGCAGATTGTAGCAATGAAAACAACAGTGTGATTTAGGTACGAATTTAGATCCGTACTGATTTTTTGTCTTGGGAAGAAAACTGAAATGGTGACTATTCTTATGGGAAGAGTGGTTTCGTTTTGGACTCAAAAACTGATATGACGAAAGTTTCAAAGTTTCTTGATGATATGTTTCATTTACTTAGAGAAATTCAAAAACTCAGAGAAAAAAAATTTGGCCACAAAAATTTTTGAAAAATCGTGCCATCTTTTTTGCCGTCCTTCAGGTGGAGAGGATAGCGAAAGCGAGGAGTCAGTTGTATCGCATATGACCGTTGATGACGATTTAAGAAGTGTACAAGGTAGGATTCATTTCCAGTGTGGGCTTGTACTTGAACCGAAACCCACAAAGAAGAAATTGGGGTTCAGGAGATGACATGGAAGACGTTGATGCTCCCAGTTTACTCGACGCCCTGGCCGAACACATTGAAAACGCCAGCCATAAGAAGTTTGTTAATTCCTCATTAACTGCGTAGAAATATTACAGCTTGATGTATGAATTGTGGAAATATATGGATATTGTAGTATTTCAATACGAATGGCAGCACTGAGACATATTCAGCTGGCAATGTGCTCTCAGTATGTTCCCGATTTCGTGACAAAGTGGAAAATGACGCTAATTGAACTCATCACAAAAAATCTGAAAAAAACCGATGAAGAAATAGCCGTGTCTGCGGTTCTGCTTGCTCTTGTTTCACTGCATTTAGGTAACTGGTTTTTTGAATAATAGGACATAGTATCAAACGATCGGCAACAGGCTCACTGGTCGTTCAGGTGAGGAACTAGGCTCTGATGTGGAGGAGCCTCTTGCAATACTTCGCACTCTTGTGACGGACCCGGCCAGACCGGAACATTTGCGAGCCGTATGTGCTCTTTCTATAGCTGTGACCAGTCACGTTGCCTCTGTAAGCGACGAGTCCATATCTGCAAGTATAAAGGTTAGCTCTCCCTTCCGAAAATGGCCCTCACCCAAACATTTCTTGTCAACTTCCAGGCATTGCGTTCAACCTGGGCCGGTATAAAGGTCACTGCACATGGAACACGTCTATTCACTACAGCCCTGCCGAGCTGGACGTTATTACTGCAGGTGTGGAGTAAACCTTGTCATCTTTGGATCACACCGACTACTGCTTCGGAGCAGTTGGTCAATTGAAATGTGGTCGTTGAGTGTACTGGGGACTCGGACAGCCATGGTGCCTTCACAGCTAGCCGAAGCTTATAATTATTCGCTTGCAGTAACATAGGCTTTAGGGAATTGCTTTAAAAAAGAGGGTATAATAGGCTGGTGAGAAAATTTCTCCCTTTTTTAGGGAAGATAGTAGATAGTTGACTTTTTCCCATGAAAAAGACCAATGTTTTGTAGTCCGAGAACGCAGATAATCGCGGTTAAACAGATTAATTCGCGGAAGGCTTCTTCAAAGCTTTGCTTGACACTAAGATGATACCACGGGAAACTGGGACTCTTGTGTTCGTCCACTGTGCTTTTCATACTGAACGATGACTTAATTCCCTTTACATCACTCTCAGTATCATGCAGTGATTAGGTATTTCAAATTGTGGTGTGATGTTGAACGTGGTGGCTCAGAAACTGGGCGGTTAATTTAGGAACTCGCAGTTTGCATTTAAATTGAAAGCCTATGCTGTTTGATTCAAGCACTGCTGCATAGCAGTTGTACGAAGGCTAGCTTCTTCATGTTTTTGACCAATTGCCTCCTTATTAGGGATTAACTCTTGAAAATCACAAGAGATTGGAGGTTGGAATAGAGCCAAACTTGCAGAAAATAGATACGATGAACAAATTTTGGTTATGATGTTTTAGGACACAGATGCATCGACACTTAACTCTGCCTTTGGAGAATTCGCAAAATTGACTGCTTTTCTGGAAGCCGATCAGCTCGATATCCGTATCGCTACTGGGGAAGCACTGGCCTTCCTTTACGAACTCGGTGCAGAAACTAGACCGGGATTCCGCCTCCCAAACCACCAACAGATTGTTGAGGTCCGCCTAATTATTATTCGATTTCGTACTCTCGAGTGAGGATCTTGATCTTTATTTTCAGATCCTTCACGCACTTTGCAGCGACAGCTCCAAAGGAAAAGCCAAAAAGGACAAGCGTGCGCAGCGATTCACTTTCAGGTATGCTTTCTTCTTCCAAAGCGTGTTTTTCTCAGGTATGCTTTCTTCTTCCAAAGCGTGTTTTTCTCCTAAATAGTATTAGTGCAGTTCTTCTGGGATTTTGGTTGTATTCCAGGCAGGTGTACTCGAGCATCGTAGACAAGGATACTCCCTCAATCACAATCAAGTTCAACAAGGAATCACTGGTGTTGGATTCCTGTGCCTCTAAATTACTCTATGACGTCTGCTGTGAGGTCTGCTATGAGGGTGTTCTATAGGGGTGTGGTGCAGTAGGATCGGCATTGTCGCGTCGCGGCGAAAGGGACGCCGTACGCGAAGGAATGTAGCAGAATGCAGCAGCAGGTAAGAAATGCAGGACCAAAAGGACTAGCACCAAAATCATGCCTAAAATAATAATCGCATATCGATTGAGCTGAGTGAAGAACGCTTAAACTGTAATAACGAGGCGAATGGTCCGCGACTGCCGCGCGCGGCGAATCCATTACACAAAACCGATCCTACTGCCCCTCTCCCTCTTCTATAGAGATTTCATTCCTAACCCACATGGCCTCAGCTCCTACATGGTGGTATGGTGCGACAGCTCCAACACAATGAATTGTTGCGGGATTTGTTCGATTTAGGACCTGTTCAGGAAGTGAACCAGCACGAGAAAATTAACAAGTTTGCAAAGGCAAGCATATAATGTTTATTACCAGTAACAACCTTGCTAATATTATAGTATCCTCAGATGGCCGCACACGATGCAGCATCCAAGTACAGAAATCAAATCCGTGGGAAGCAGAGGGATAAACGTAATGCCGTATTTCAGTAAAGTTAATTAACTCGAAACATTCTTATTTATAACAGCAACACCACTTACCCTATTTAACTTGATTAAACTGATATCTAATGCTTGTGATAGGATGGTTTCTTTCATTTATGAATCAAGATTAGTCCTGAATTCATTTGACATTCTCTTTCGATTCGTATTGTTTGTATATGGTACGGTGACTATAGCTCGGTTTAATAGGTTACGTGATATAGAGACAGTTCGCTAGTTGCACATCAGGGACACTTACATCAATGGCAAGGATTGTTAGAAAAACAATTTCTCGATTATATGTTTTCCCTTTTCTTTGCCGATTGCCCTAGGGTTGATTTTCTGTGTAATTCTATCAAAACCTAGTATCACTCAAATTCTTGTGGAAATAACTGTACATCATTAAAACTATTTTCCTCCTCCTTTCCTGTGAAATTTTTTCTGTGCACATCACTCCACTGTTTTACCCAAGTGTTTACTTTTCAGCTTCACTTCTTTGCCCATCACTCGATATTTACTTGAAACCTATAGATTCAGGTTTAGAAATGACAGGAACTGTTGGAATATTATGTACTACTTGTGGAGCAATGAATAACACACTGAAAATCAAAATAAATTTTAGTTCTTGTTGTGCTCGAAACATTTGCTTTTAACGGTTTCTCTTGCTGTCAGACGAGAAGGAATTGAACAAAACTACTGTGTTATACTAGAGATGATCCAGAGCGTCTGGAAAACGCCATCAAAAAATTCAAAAAAAAAATCTATGAGAAAAGAAGATACGGCATTCTGTAGAAACTACGCCAATTGAAATTCCCATAGTTCCTGCGTAAGGCCGTATATTGTTTGTACGGTGTTTCTACATCGTCCGCCAAAACTTATGAAACAGTAGAACACCTCTCATGACTGCGGCTGGCCCAGCTATGCTACCCCAAACATAGTCGACAGACTGTCCCTTTTTCGTTCCATGACTGTCGCGCAATCACACTTGAAGTCAATTCCTTTGTCGAAGTGGTCATTGTTAACCACCCTCCTTCGAGGGTCTATCGCTCTTCCATTTGCTCCTCAAACAGCGTACCAATGCCTGTTGGCACCAACAGAAAAATCGGCAACAATGATTTGTTTGAATGTTCTCCTTTTAAGGTGCTTTCGATGGACATCGCTAGTATTTTCAAGCCGATTGGCGCAGTTTCAAGAATTCGTTGCAAGCTGACTTGAACCAGTTATGAGCAACATCATTAAGCATAAATGGTCATAGAGATTTATGAACGTCTCTGTTAACAGTAAGCACGAGAGTTTATGGGAGCTTCCAAGTGTCACAGTCAGCTGCTTCACCTGACCTGATTTGCAATAGTAAATGAATCCTCCATAGCCATTCTAAACAAAACCCACGAGACTTCCCTTCAAGCACGGTTCACGATGATTTTGAGGTATCCTTTTAAAGACGAAAAGTAAAAGAATTGTCTGAGGGTAGTACATGGATGGCAAGGAGAGAAAATCCGACCCCATAAGAAAGGAGGCTTGATAAAAAAAAAGTAAAATAGAGGTTGTACGAGATCACCATTAAAGGGCCCCTAAGGGGTATTCGGATGAGATTTTAGTTGCTGCAATTGCGTAAAGAACTAACTGTAGTCCGAACCTATTCTTCCACTTTTGCCATGTGTCCTGACAAGTTATTTGGAGTCCCTGCATGGATTCATTTGGCTGCTTTCGTAGTCCGCCCGGCTGGCCTGCGGGTTGTTTACAACTGAAGCTTTCAAGCTAATCTCGATCAACGTCATAATTTTGGCTGTTTTCTCTTTTCTTTTTAGCCACGTAATGCCTCATCATATTTGTTTTTTTTTTCTACATTCCAGTTGTTATAGTTACTTCTGTTATGACACTTGCGAGAGTTGTGTTACTGGATGCTTCACTTGTTGTTGATTGTAGCTCACGTGGACTTTGTCTGCGTCAATAAATGAAATGAAATGAAATGAATCTTGAGCGATACCGCAGGCCGAGTAGTCTCCGGCCGGCGGAATATGAAAGCAGTCCTTGTGGATGGTGCAGCCTCTCCGTGGCCGTTGAACTCGTCCGATATGGGTATTCAGCCGATACAAAGTCATAGCCGTTAAAACTCCCTATCTAGTCGTGGTCTTCCGACTCGACGGTGTCACATACGGTATACGAGGGGGCCACAGATTTCTCCCAGGGTAATATTCAGAAGTCACTGTTATAGTGAAATGAACTTTCAACGACACGAAAGTGCTCCCATTGGTTAATGCTCGAGATAATTATCAATAACAATTTTTAGCGGTCCTCCATGATCGGCATGTTTATTTATAATTGCCCACAACAATTAACAAAAAAATCAACAACCAATTATATACAGGCATCATTCAAAAAGATTCGGTCACATTGTCGTCACAGTTACACCCACCACTACAGCTAGTCTTAGAAGTTTCGTCGTCAACAATGGCAATTTTCTTCGTCTTCTAAATAGGAAAACTTAAACAAACAATACTGATCATCAAGATTTTGGAGCTTTTTACAAAGGAGGCAATCCAGAAAACCATATAAGTCAACCTACCCGTTTGATCCCCATATCGGTATTTCCTGTATTCAAACCTTCCAGCAACAAGCATGCCTTACATAATGGTTGGCTGGACATATACCCGCATCTAAAATTAGCTTCAATGTATTCGCCAAATACAACGATGTGAATTACAATATACGACCGAAATACAAGAGCAGACCGTACCTAGAGCAGTTAATAAGTGTGGGCATAGCCACCTCCGATTTAACAACTACTGATTCACCAGATCTGATCAAATCTAAAATCGATTGCGGCCGTATTCGTTCGAGATCTTTGATAAATGTCCTGCAAAATGTGACGACATGTCAGAAAGAATGAAACAAGATCGGGAAAATGTACCTTGAATATGCACGGTATGAATCCGGAGCATAAACACATTCCGTGTAGAAATAATCCAATTTGTTCAGTCGCGCATACATGACAATATCCTTTTCAAAGCAGTACTGAAAAGACGATGCTGAACATGAGGAATTCCATAGTTAATTAACACGCAGTCATGTTTATAAAAAACTTATAGCACATATTTATCAACAACCCTTACTACTAATATTCCTGATTATCTATAATTTTTATCCATCTTAGTTAATATTTTCCCACGTGGATGATGGATGTGTGTAAAGTGAAATACTAATGTGCCGAAATCCGTGCACACTGAAAAATATAAGGTTCCTAGGGCCAAAGACCAATGAAAGTCTTCTTCTGCACTTCAAATCTCTGCCATGGTGACCACCCAGACTTGTTCTCAATAACTAACCTTCAACGGTTTGGCACGGGGAAGTTCACCCTCTTCGCCAGTGAGAGCACTGGTGCAACGTTGTAGACGAGCAACATCACCTCGGAGAACGTTCATCAGCACAGTCTCGGCCATATCATCTGCATTATGGCCAGTTACTAGCTTAGATGCACCGACTTTGTGGGCACCTCTAAAATAAAGAAGTTGCATAATGCTGTGAACTTTAGTCAAGAAAATAGTGTGAAAAAGTCACCGGTCAAGGGCCTGTCGACGAAAGACACCACAGAATGTACAATTGTTCTTTTTTCCTATCTTCGCCACAATTTCATCCATCGTCCAACCATATAGATCTTTGTACGTGAGCACAGTCAACGGCATACAATATTCCACACGATTTCTTTCCACAGCCTGCAGTTAAGTTGACATTAGTGGGATAGATACTTCGAGTCCTCTGCATAAAGCTAGCCAACTTAAGGATTATGAAAGATCACCTCCAAGGAATCATCACGATATCCCTTGATTCCTTCATCAATAGACAGTAAAACTAAATCCAACCCATAATCGTATCGCTCGTTGAGTGTCTGAACATTCAAAGCACCTGTTAACATGAGTTATAGTCCAAAAACTCTTAATGTTACAAGCATCCAAAATGATTCAAATAATTAAGAAAAAAAAGAACAAGCTCCCACTTTCATAACATAGGCCAGCACTGTTGAATCCTTGCCTCCTGATGCACCGATGGCAACACGTTCTCCTCGACGGAATAAATTCGAGGTAACGATAGTCTTGTGAACTTCCTATAAAACGTTCATGAAGAATCAAAACCTGGAGTATACCTTTGAAAACAGAAAAATTCTTAAATTAATTAAGGAAGCCATGATTTTTTTTGCGGTCACTGAGCAAACCGATGACGATTAATTCCAAGCCACTCAAAACATTCTCGTACAGTCCTTTTTGGACTCAAATGTATGGGGTGTTGTACAGTTTTGGGTGCGAAAAAATCTCAGAAAGTATCAGGAATGATTTTCCTTTCATAGGGGAAATCGTCCAACATTACAAAGCACAACCAAAACCAAAGAAAGACAGTGAAAGTATTTTCCATCCATACTCTCGAAATGTCAGTACTTTCCATAACACGGTGAAATGATGAAATTAGCCTATCATCATTTGCTAGGTCAACAAGTTCTAAAAGTAATTGATCACAAATCATTAGAGGTTCGATGACTGCCATTAATGCTGCCAAGCAGCATTAGCGCTCAACTTGTCAAATATTCGGGAACTCGATGTTTTACAACAAAGAGGTCTAGCACTCGAAAAATCGTGGGATTTGGAAAAATCCCTCCTTAAACATAAAACACACCGACGAACTCGCGAGCGAAGCACCCTCACTTTTTCCGCACTTCAGCAGCATATTTTGTTGGCAATAGACTTGCATCCACTCACGCAATGGAAATTAAAAAAGGCAATTGTGTCTGTTCGAGCTCTCGTACAGTTAAAAAGATGATCGTCTTAATGAGAGCATATTTTGTTGGCAATAGACTTGCATCCACTCACGCAGTGGAAATTAAAAGGCAATTGTGTCTGTTCGAGCTCTCGTACAGTTAAAAAGATGATCGTCTTAATGAGGCATAATCTACATTCCTTTTTGCCTAGAAAGTCATTTTAGTTAACAGAGAAAGATTCACCTCCTCGAATCCCTTACTAAAACAAGGAGCACAAAGAGCAGTGTCATCTAATGCCCGTTTCACAGCAGCATTTCCTGTACATTCGCCCGTGGAGCATTGCAAAGACATTCACTGTAAATACTAGAACGTACACGTGAATCAAAACGGCAAAAGTGGCCTCGCCATTGTTCCGAGCCCAGATGTTCGCGGAAGCGTGAAATTTTCCATCAGCATAAAACACGTAATGACTGCTACTGCAATTAAGGGTCCTGGGTAACAAGACCGAACAACAAGAAATGTCCTAGAAATAGGAAAACAAGTTTTAACGCAGAAAGATTGGATCTCATCAGTAAAGCTCATAACAACTTGACATATACAAAAATTCAAACATCCCTATGCCGAAAATACTACTACTAGCCATCGAATAACACCCTTTTTCAGTCATAATCACGTCATTCAGTAAATTACTTACAACTGGTACAACTTTAAGGTTGAACCTCGCATCGGGCTACATGTTCGTTCTCAACCAGTTAGTACTTCTACGACTGTGTAAGCCACCGCACCGTATGCCGACGGCAGAATTCACAATTCTTCAATGCAACAGACTACAAACACAAAGAGGCAGGGCAGGATTTGTACTTACAGGAATCGCGTAGTTGAAAAAAAAACAGCATCCCATACCGCTCTACAGTCTTAACTAGTTACAGTCGTCCTAAGACCGGCTTCAATTCCCCTCTACCTGCTCTACTCAGAGACCCACATGAACGTAAGAAAAGGAAGGAAGAGAATATTCAAAGCACAAGGTAGACAACCTAGAGATATTGGACAGCTGCCGATATCTGTCAAAGAGGACAGCAGTACCTTTTGGTCTGGATCCATGGAGTTGCCCGTGGCTCTAATGGTTAGACAAAATGAGTAAGGTTTCAACCGGCTGAAGAAGTATGAGAAGGCCGGGATAACTTAATGAGACCTCATTTATTTTAGTGCCATTGAGCCCTCTGGGGTAAATGCGAGCTAGTGTTGTATTTTCGTAGCAGGCTACCAAACCTGCGATATGCCCTGACCCGGTGAAGTTGCTTTCGAAACGAATACAATAAACAGAAAACGATAAAGCAAGGACAACTTTAGAACAGAACGCGATATCATAGTAGAACAGGTTTGCTAAACGAGGGAGATTCGGAATAGTGAGACCTTAACTAAAGATTCCGTAGCAGGCAACCAAATCTGCAATGTGCCCTGACCCGGTGAAGTGGCTTTCGAAACGAATACAATAAACAGAAAACGATAAAGCAAGGACAACTTCAGAACAGAACGCGATATCAAAGTAGAACAGGTTTGCTAAACGAGGGAGATTCGGAATAGTGAGACCTTAACTAAAGATTCACGCGATATCAAAGTAGAACAGGTTTGCTAAACGAGGGAGATTCGGAATAGTGAGACCTTAACTAAAGATTCATTATGCGAAATCCTCTATTGCACAATCTAAAATAATCTTAGTGAGAATAACAGAAGAAAACGTAGCAGGTTAGCAACGGTGAGAACTGTATAGCAATGGGTAATTTATGAGTAAACTAGGAATAACTAGCACAGTATGTAGACACGTAGCTCTGACAGCAACGTTTCAGCAAATCCTCCGAATAAAACTGAACAGTATAGCAAACAGCAGCAGAATGGAATCACGACGACCACAACACAAGACATTACTGAATAACTAGAATACTTCTGTAGTGGAGAAAATAACCAGCAGTTAACAGATTACCCAAATATAATTCAGAATATGAGTAGTAGATCCAAGGAATAAGTATCACTCGGCTATACAGGAATATTAATAGTTCCATGAGGCCATGCTTCTCAATCGTAAACTCTGCCTTCTGCAGAAAATGAGCGAAAATCCAAAATTTACGAAAAAGCGCATGGCCATGGGCAAGAAGTCAGACAGCGAGTAGATATCGTCCTGAAGCTTCGAGGGGAGATATATCATCCCTAGTGGTTTCGCCAAACCTGAGAGATCCCGTGAGGGGAATTATCCATCCGATGCAGAAAATAGAGAATACAAATCAACGATCAGGCGACGTAGCAGCTGAGGAAGTTTTGAGCCCAAGCACAAAGAATAGGAATGGGCAGCCTTCAGACATCAGACGCACAGTTGGTGCAAAATGAGCAATTAGTTTGGTAGCCATGTCGCTGTGAGGAAATATGTACAACAGCCCACCAGTAACAGTGACAACACCTGAAACAGTTTTACTAATCAAATGAATCACGCAATCTATGCCAAAATCGCTAACAACAAACCAGCAGCGTCCTTGTCTGTAAGATATCGCACCAAAGGTCTGACATCATCCAGTTGTTTTCCAACAGCTATCATCAAACTCAGCTGTTTACTAGAGGAATTCGTTAACCTCTCAAGTAGTCCTTCCTGACCGGACAAAGCCAATCTGAAATGATGACCCATGTCGAATTTGCCAGCCTGCTTGTCCTAGCTCTCAAAATAAGATATATCAACACATTAACTTGGCCAACAAAGGAGAGACACAATACTAGCAAAATCTCTTTCCGAATTGGTCAAAGGACACGCATTTCGGCGAATGCTCAGGTTTTCCAGCAAAATAGACGGATTCCAACCAGATGAAAAGAGGTGAGATCCTTGCTCGGCTTCCTTGCTTCGCTATTTATTCCATATGATGTATATTACAAGACGCAGAAGAGGAAACACTCACCTCTGAGTGATATGCAACTTGACAGCATTACCATCGTCATCGCGCAACAACTTCTGAATTAATCGCTCCGTCCCGCCTATCCTGTACAGTCTGATGCTATATTCTGTCTTCTTAAGCAACACCTAAACAAGGATTTTTATTTGAAGGTTTCTGATGGATTCGAACCATAAGAAGGGGGAAATGACGTACCTGTCCTTGCCAAGTTGTCGCGTATTCCTCATCAAGCTCTTCGAAAGTTTTCACTATGGGCTTCGGTGACCCTGGCGGCGTTCGAGGCCCACCCATTGGGGATTTTGTCGCTCGCCTTTTCCGTCCACTTCCGCCGTTCGACTCCTTCGCGGTGTCGTCTCTAAAGAATAACGAACTTATTGAAACATCCGGACACACTAGGATTTGAAAAAGGACAGCATTCCTACTTCGCATAATCCACCAAAATGCATCTGTCTCTGCCACCAAGTGGGAAGTTCTTCATTGCTCTACATGCATCGGTAGCCGCATTCGTATCCGCGAATCGAATGTATGCAAATTCAGCTCCATTCTTAAGAAAACAACAGTAATTTCATTAAAGTTATGCAGTTATGCATCGCTAAGGCAATTATTGGAGAAGACGGCTCAGAACATGCCTCGTATTCAAGTTTTTCAATTGGACCATAACGATCAAATTCCTTTGCGAGAGCATCCGCACTAGTCCACGAGCCTAGGCCACCAACCCAAAGACGACGCGAAGTCTGAATCCATGAGAATGTTTTCCACGAGACTACACTATGCTACCAATTCTGTTACCTGACTTTTCCCATAACCTATTTTACATCGCACCGAGCCTGGTCTAATGGAACGGTCGTGTTCACCGTGCTTCGCTTCCATTGCTTGCTCTAGATTCTGGAAGTTGGACCAATTTCTTAAGCCGATTAATTTCCTCAACGAAATCAAAAATACCTGAAACATAACAAAAGCGTACGCCGCATCGGTGTTTGCTGGAGTTTTGATATCAATATCTTCGATTTTCCCATACCTTTCGAAAACCTAAACAAGACTTCCTTATCCCACAACTTAAAACATAACAAAATCAGAGAAAACAGTTTCGAGCCTCTTATTTATACTATGCGCGCTACTTATTAGAGAATGGAAAGAAATGGTTTTGAATCACTCACTTTGCGGATCTCGGATTCCCTAATATCAGATGGCATATTTCCAACAAAGAGAGTTCTCGTGGCAGCCGAGTCGTCCTCCTTCAGCCTCCACTGAGGTGGCTCTTTGGGACGCGATCTTCGGTCGGGTGAACGGCGCCCACCTCGATCACCCTGCATATAAAGACAGATTAAAGCAGTACATTGGAAGGGAGTAAAAAAAAGCGATCACCTGAAGAGCGCGATTGAAGCGATCAGGAATATATTTTCCTTCCTGATCGCGGAGAATCCCTGCAGGATCGCAAAGAACACGTCGACCAAGAACTTTTCTTAAACGATCCATTATAGTGTACCTGAAATAAAGATAACGTAGCGTTTACTCCAGAATTCGTGATGACAAAAGTTGAGTCCACAAGTTATTGTTCAAAACATCAATACCCACCTAACTTTCCTGGCACAGTCTCGCCGTTCAAAATTAACGTATGCCAATCTCTCCTCATCTCCAGGATTTCGAACAACTTTGATCTACAGCTAATAAAACTTAGAAAAGCTTCTTTCGTAAGAAAACTAATCGCTGATGAAAACCGACCTCAAATGGTGCAAATTTCCGGAACTCATTAGCAAGAATGTCTTTGATTTCTTCCCGATCTAGCTTGTCGTCAAAGCCCGATATACGCAAATTCATGTATTCCTCCGGTGAATGACTTCCAAACCGCTCTCTGAAATTGATACTTCTTCATGGCATTATTCAACAAAAATAGGATTCCTCGTCTGCATTGAAAACACACCTGTAAAAGGTGGACAAGCCATCACTCGTTGATCTGGTAGTAGTACGTCCACGATTCTCGTCATCATCAGACCGATATCGACTCATTGTCACTACACAAACAATAGGATCAGTCAGAACAGCAGAAATCAGTCCACAATAGGTTTGTTAAGAAGTAGATCCATCAAATGTGTGGTAACTTTTGCAATACCCATGATTGAGTTGAGTGACCATGTCCACATAGCAGTTAAATTGCGCCATCCAAGAATTTTAGAGAAATGGCTAATTCGCAGTAATAAACAGTCAATAATAGTAAGAATAGTAATAACAAGAGAGAAGTGGAAAACAATAGTAGAAAATTGCAAGTGGTACGTGAATGCGCATGTTTTTAGTGGAGACCTAGGTCACCATCTGAGCGAGCGAAGTGTGAGCATAGCCGTCGCCATCGATTTGCGGGCATTTGTCACAGAGACGCACGCTGCCCTTACGGCGGCCAGAGTTGCGCAAGTTCATGGCTCTTTTCTGGTTGAATTCCCATTTAGAATTGCTCTCTAATGGGCTGGTGGCTTTCACATCGATTTCCTCTTTCTCGCGATTTACTCATTACTGACTTCGGCATGAAATCCTATCTGGTTCCATTTCTTCAATCACCCCCGCGAACATCCGGAATGTCTTCCTTCTGTTACCACTTCATCTGGAGATAGTGATAACAGAACGTCAAACGTTATCGGGTGTGGGTCAATTCGTCCGTTTGGTGATACACGCGGCATATTGCGCGGCGATTTCGAGGATTCTGGCGCTTGGGGAACTTCCTTTCCGCGCGTCCGACGGAACGGACGTTCCCCAAGCGCCAGAATCGTCGAACCCCGCCCACCTCGCGCGTGGCGCAGCCCACTGCCATCTCGAAATGACGTTACAGCATCACTCACCGTGACTGGAGCGAATGATTTACACTAGTCCGTGTTAACCTCACTTTGGCATCTTTCATAGTCCACGACCGGTCGCGCGACCGGTCACCTGACCGATCGCGCCACTGGTCGCTCGATCGGTCGAGGAGGCCGCGCTAGTTATGGGTGCCGCCGTGGACGGTCCCGCGCGATCAGACAAGTGACCAGTCGAACGACCAGTCGCTAGCGACCGGTCGCGCGACCGGTCGTGGACTATGAAAGATGCCTTTGAGCTGACTGCTGTGGACCGAGCGAAGTTCGTATGCTCGCAGAGAAGTGCGACATTTGTCAAAGATCGCGGGCTAACATGTCGCGTTCGACGGCTGCGGCGCGAGCTAGCCTCGACGGCGAACGTCCGTTGCGCGTGTCCGTCGAAAGTAGGTCACCCCACCCACTTCGCGCGCGGCGCACTCCACTGAGGTCTCGGGAAGACATTATAGTACCATTAAGAG